GTGGGCACGGGGAGCAGAGCTGCAAAACCCAACTGGGCTTCACAGGAAGAGAAGAGATGGTGTTTCAGGGCACTGTTCATTCTCTGTGCAGAGGAGGTCACTTTTCTGTCTCACACAGGTGAAACCTGCAGAGGGGGGATGGATGGATGGATGAATGGATGTGCGTTCCCAGAATTATCACGGGCTCCTGCACAATAATACTGCTGGGCTTTTGCCTGGATCTAGCCAAGAAATTGTTCGGATGAGAAAGGGAGAAGTTGGTACAGCAGAGACTACCTGGTCTTCTGAAACCACTGCAGAGGAGTTGCTCCGCAGTCAGCAGAGATGGGAAGAGCCTTGAAAGGTGTTCGTTAGTGAAGGTCCCAAAGTAAAAATGGCGTTGACTGTTCTATATCTGCAGTGACTAAATCAAATTAACTTTGATCCTTTTTTGAGAGATGAGATAGGGGCTAGAGATCTCCCTGTCTCACTTGGTAACAGGAAGACCCACGCTGTCCAGAAACTGTTTCACAATCTACTGAAATACATGTTTTTACGTGGACCTTGGCCCAGTACCTGATCCCATCGCACCTGCAGTAGGTGGGAGTTTGTGTTGTCTGTGAGCTTTGAGTTAGGTTTGAATATCCACTAGAATTACAAAGGGAATATACCACATTCCTTTAAAAATTATTTCAACTGATCTACAGCTATAATATATCAAGACAAGAGGCAATTGAAGTATAAAAGAAAAGTATCATTGTTTGGACTTGGAGGTTAATTTATGTTAGCTGGTATTTAAAATGAAAACTGAGAAAGGCACATGTGGATAAGGTGAAGATAGAAGAGTCTTTACTTGTGGATCCTTGGAAAATACGAGATTTTCAGGTTAAACAGAGCTGTTATCCGTTGTGTACTTGAGTAACACTTCAAATAGTCAAGAGGTGACACATTTCAGTAGTTAAGACAATCACTTACTGAAATTGGTGGTGGTTTTGGTCTTGTTTTGCTGGATTGTAACGTATGAACTAAAATAGATGTTTCTATAACTATTATTTAACAGGCAAATAAAGGAAAAAGACTGTTTGCTTACAACTCTTAGCATTGTTTTTGAGATTAGAAGTACTGACTGTTTCTTGTGAATTTTTTATGCAGTTCAATCCATTATGAATTATTTTATTTTCTCTCTAAGAAACTAAAAGAGGCAAACTATCAACAGAAACTTAGATTTCTTTCAAAGTGCTGTATGCATAGAATAAAAAACGCAAAGTCCATGCAGGGAACATTTTACATTGTAAATGCATAAGGGGTCTTGGGGCATTGGTGATGTAAGCAACTGTTCCGATGTAACACAGGGAGTTTGTTTTAAACCTAGTAGTGGTCATGCTGTGTTAGTGATAGCCTGAGGATGTAGTAGGATAAAGTCTGTAGAAGGAGGCAATTTGTTTTATTAGACTGACTGGCACAGTGGGAAGACCTTTGGGGCCTGTAGGCCCTTTGCTGTTTCTGAAGTAGAAGCCACAGACCAAAAAGCAGCTGGAGAGCACTTGCCCCAAGCTTGTTGGTTGTGTGTGTGTCAGTCAGACCACCAAAGGGAAGGCAGATGGTACCTGCGAGGCAGAGAGGTGGTGAGGTGTGGCTTTCCTGGGGAGAGACAGACAGGTGACTTGTAGCCTGTGCCACCTAGAGAGGTTTGTTCAAAGGGAGGGAGATGGTAGTATAAAACTGGTGTCTTAGACTGATTTTTTGATACCTGTTAGAATTATGGGGTTTAGTTTCTAGGCTCCTCCTCCTAGACATTCAGCCCCTTGAGGACCTTCAGGTCCCCTGATGGCCAGAACTGTGAGGCTGGAGACCAGGGATAGAACAGTGACTTTGTGAGAAATGCTCCTCAGCTTGTTTTGAAGGTGAAATTGAAACTGAGCTGAAATCTCCTGAGTTCTTGCCTAGTGCTTCAGCTATACGACTATTCGTCCTCCCAGGTGAAGATTAGGAAGAGTTCAAATGTCAGTCCTAGCCAACTATAAGAAACTAATAATGTGCAGCTCAAGAAAGCAGAGTATTTTGCTCAGTTAGTGTAAAGAAAGCTTGACATTTTGGTAAGGAAGCTCAGCCAGCCCTAAATAAAGAACCTGATTCCTCTTTGTAATACCAGATGCCCGAATAAAAATAGAAAAGCTTCGTCAACTTTCTTTTGAACTCTATAAGCTCCTCTAAAGTCTGTCCTGCTAAAATTTTGATTAATCCAAATCAGTGCTCCCTCAGAGACTCACTGAGTTAATATTGGGGTAGAATCAATAAATAGTTTTAAAGTAAATTTTCCCAGCGTAGTTTATGTAAATTTAAAATAACTAGACAGCAGTGCATAATCTTTTCAGTTTTGAAATTGTAAGAAATAGTTCAGAACTGGATGGAAAAATAATTTGATCAATTATGACCAAATCACCTGCATGCACCACGTCTCATGCATATAATTTCTTGTCTGTTTTTAATGACCCTCATTTAGGATATAAAGAAGAAGAATTCAGCTGGCCTTCATACCTAAAGGCATGCAAGGCTCAAGCAGCTCCTAAATCACTGTTTGAAAACCAGAATACAGTAAGTACTGTCTTGTTACTAATGGTGTGGAAAGTTGCTAGTATGCTGGTGTGTGTGGTAGAGACTCACAGCATATTTCATTGATGGCAGACTTGAGACCTGAAATTTAAGATAAAAATGTTTACCACAAATTCAATAACAATTGCAAGTTCACCTCTGCAATTCTGATCCACTGAATTTTTTTTACTAATCCATTTAAACATCTGATCTGGCACGTTCAGAAATGGTATATTGAATGAAATTTAAGACTTGTTATTTTTACTGTGTCTTCCACCCCAATGTTGTGGAACAGCATCGTCTTTCAGAGAGAGTGTCTAAGGCCAAGTTAAAACCAACACATTTAATTTTAGCAGCATGTTCAAGGCTTTTTTATTTCATAAACCATGAGGCTCTGTGTTTGAGCATCATTCATGTCAACTAATTAGGCTGCTGCCACTCTGTTGGGGCAGCTAATTGGGAAACTTAGAAATGACATGAATATATTGATTGTGGACACTGGGGAGATTTCTGGATTTGAAGTATTTATCTTCAATTAAATGTCTTTCTCTATGTAGACAGTGATTCCGTCGGGATTTCGAGTGGGGATGAAGCTGGAAGCTGTAGACAAGAAGAATCCGACTTTCATTTGTGTTGCTACGGTAACAGACATGGTGGACAATCGTTTTCTGGTTCATTTTGACAACTGGGATGAGAGTTACGACTACTGGTAGGATGTTTTTGTTTTGTATCCTGGTGAGATGTATTGGAAATGTGTTAGCTTTAAGCACTGTTTCCTGTGATACTTTCCAGACTGTCGATACAGTTACCATATCAACTTTTGCTAGATTTGTAGCCATGGCCACTGAAGTATGTCTCAGTGGCAGACTGGCGAAATCAAATTTCCCATGTCAGGTTGCACATGAAAAATTTTGAGATTGTGCTAAATGAACGTTCGTGTGTGCTGCTACATCTGGACTTGCAGATTAATTTCTCATTTCAATTGCACAGTATCTCTGAGGTTGATATCTTTAGTGAAGAATATGCATCATGATAATGTGATTGATTGTACTCGGAGTTAGGTTTATGTAGAGTCGTAAATTGAAAGAAAGGCTCCATTTTTTCATAGGGTTCTTGATCCACTTATGTTGTTCAGACTGAACCTTAGCCATCTTCTGTAAGGCATTGGGATAGCGGCAAAACCTGTTTTTAGTCTTTTTTGTTCCACATTCCTCTGAAAATTGGGATCATGCTATCCTGACCTGTGTTAGATACGACCTTTCTGCATATTGTGTGATGGAGGGACTTTGTGTATCTATACAGAAAAGTCAGTGGATGGCGCAGGACATATTACAACTATAAAGATACTGGAGGAAATTCAGGCTTTGTCTGTCACAGTGCAGGTTTGTGTTTGTACTTGCATCTTCTTTTGGCAGATCTTTTAAGGCAAAGTAATATATCATACATTCTTGGAAGAGTACGTTACTGCGGAGCAGCTAGAGCATTGTAAGCCTACATTGGGTTCGGCAGTGGCAATTTAATTGTAAAAATAAATGAAGAAAGTTTTTTTTCATCTATATTTGACGTCTGCTTAGGCACTACGTCAGTGAGAATGATGTGAAATTATTACGTAACTTCAAAACTTTCTGAGTCCATCTCTTGAAATGATAATTGTATACGCTACCTGACAAATAAGCTGTAGGAAAACTAAATTATCGAAGCAGCAGTGAACAGGCATTTCAATTAAGTCGGGAACTGAATATCAAGGTAATAGGCCGTATGAGTCAAAGATCAGAAAGATTAGTTATTATTCCCATGAAAAAGCAACACAGAACATACATTTACTCTTCAAAGCAGCAGGAAACTGGAGACTGGGAAAAGGTATTCTGAATTTCCTGATATTTTGAATGCTCACTGATAAGAGTTATGCCATTAATTAATAATGAAAACAGCAGTTAGGCAAGGCTTTTAGGACAAATGCAATGCAATATAAACTGTAGTTTGTTCAGAGGTAGCATAGGTATCTCCCCAAAACGTTGCACTGTGTATAGCAGACATACACTGAATTTCAGGCTTGTTAATATTCCCTTGTCAACAGGAATTTTGTCCACCAGTCTTCTCAGAAGAGGGAAAAGCAGTTTTTAAGTACATAACCAGGCATTACGTTTTTGCAGTCGAAGTGTTCTGAAGTGAGTTTTCTGAATTTCATATGTAGAGTACATGAAATAATACCTTCTTAAAGGATGAGGGAAGACTGAAGTGTAAAATGTATAGGTGTTTGAGAAATCACTGGAGCTGTGTTTGTACTGAAGCCGAGCTGGAGATTTGTTCTTTTGGTGAAATCATAAAGTACCTTTCTGGAAGGAGCAAGAAGATGCTGCCAGAAATACTGTGCCTGGAAATTGAATTCTGAGTGTTATGGCCTGCCTCTCTGCTTTGCTGTGGTTGAGAATGGAAGAGAATAGAGGAAGAAGGAAAGAAAATGGGGGTAAAGAACAGCAAATGAAAATAGCATTCTCACTGAAAGAGAGCCTGAAAATGCATCCTGAATGCATCCCACTTACATTTTTAATTTTAGGTACCAGGTTTGTAGGGACCTTAAAATATCTTAGGTGCATAAGTCTCACATCTACCAACCAGTGTCTGTAACTGAAAATAAAAAGTTCTGTTGGGATTACCCGGAGTGGAGCCTTCCAGTTTCCCTGCACCTGCATATACATTTCAATCTCAGAATTATGAAGGAGAAATGATGTACTTAGTGTATGTAGTTGATTATTTTCAAACAAGTACCTTTTGTTATCTACATACCTTTTCTGATTTAGTTAGTTTGAGTAGATTGAACTTTTTCATTGAGTTTAAAAATTCTTTCCTCTTTGTAAGTAACTAACACAGTTGACTGATTTTACTGGACTTCAGGCAGCAGAAATCTATTACCATTGCCTAAGCTTTTTTAGGCTTCAGGCTTTAAGGCTGTAGATACTCTTCCTGACTTCTCCCTGAGCATTAGAAAATACATTAACAGTTGAAGATAAGTACCCTGGCTAGACTAAGTCATTACTACAGCTCTTTAATGCATGGTGGTGATACTTTCAGTATATTATAAATCCCATTAAATTTTCCTTTGGCAGTGGCTTTTAGAGGGAAAAAAAGTGATGAAAATTGACAAATTTGCGACCTTCCTTCAGGAAGGAGAATTTTGACCTGTACTACACAAGCTATCAGGTCCTTTCTATCTGTCCTGTCTTTTTGATGAAAGAAATAATCTTCTTTGATGAAAGAAATAAGATTATTTGAAAGCCAAAGACACTCCCTCTGAGTGGAATTTTCAAATTTTCTTAAGGCTGACTGAATCTGGAAGTAGCATTTGGGAATCTTTGGGTATGTCTGAACTATGAATTAACTACAAGTCCATGCTGGCTTTCAGTTTTCCATTCTCTTGCATCTGTTCTGCTTACACACAGATTTATGTCGCCTCAGCTTCCTAATTTTTTTGTGACCAGATGCAAACACAGCCAGAGCTTGCACGGGAGGTGAAGCTGTGCTAGCTTGTTGCCACTTGTTCACAAGAGACATGAAGTAGTGGCAGTGCTGAACATGCTGCACTCCAGACTGAATGGATCGGCTCTGGCTGACCTCATCCACACCTTGGTCTGAACTTCCCTGCAGAGAAGGTGCTACAGTCAGCTTTTGGGATCAACTTACCAGGAGTGTGAGAAAATAATGTCCCATGCTACACTCACCTGTCAGTCTGCATAGAAGAAATTATTCTAGAACGCCTTGTGAAGACACATGAACTTTTGGTTTTCTGAACCATCTTCTGATCTATATGAGTTTTGGAACAGACTGGATTTTGGTGTGAGACTAAATAAGAGCCCAGTTCTGCCCTCCACCAGCATCTGCTACTTTGCTAACAGCCAAGCCCTTAAAAGTTGTGCTCTGCTTGTTTCATTTTTGAGATAATTATCTTTGCTCGACTCTCCCTTTGAAAGGAACAGTCTTTTTGGAAGGGTTATATTATGCCAAAAAGAAGATAAAACAATCTTGAAGAACCATGACTCACAGTGCATGTTTTTAACTATTTAAATGGATAATGGACCAGTATCTGACCCTAAAGCTCTAAAAGTTCATGCAAATGACCATGCAGCTGTCTTATCCGACTAAGTAGAACATATGGTAATGTGGCTTGCCATACCACCTCTGAATGCATACCATAACCTCATGGGCCACGTTTCGGGAGGTCCTGACCTAAAATTATACCAGCTTTACTCTTGTCAGTGATGAAGTATTCTCACTTATGCACTAGATGGGGCTGCAGGATGGTTTCTGTGTTTTTCTTTCTTTTTTTCCTTCTTTTTTTATGCACGGTTAGATGACTGACATCTCACAATCAAGGAGTTGTATGAGAGCATCTTATTATTCGTGGCTAAAACGTGTGTGTATATGAGTGGTTTTGGATAGGTAACATTTTCATGACATTTTATCAACGGTTAATAAAGTGAAAATCAAAATACCAAAAGGTTTGTTTCCCCAAAAGGGAAAATCAGAAATTATTTCAAAACAGAAAATGAGTATAACACTGCTTATTTGAAAGATGATGATGATTACTAAATAAAAACTCTATCCACATCTTCAGGTGGAGACCCATTTGGGAAAATATTTTTTCTAAAGGAATTGAGTATTCATTATTTTAACAGCCAGCATTATCATCCATCTCTCTTGATCTGAATTTACTGAGCTGTATATATGAAAGAGTTTTTTAGGAAAAATTAACAGGACAGCTGAAAGTGACCAGTAGAAAAATACTAAGTCTTCTTCTATAGCTGAATCTCCTGTTGAGGCGTGCTCTCCTGCCATTCGGTGATGATTGCTGAATTGCGTACGTGTTCCTTGCACGCAGAGTGATGCACTCTCCTGGGACTCACGTTGTCAGCTGCCCTCGGCTTTCCTTATTGCAGAACTTCTTCCTGGTCTTTTACATCATGTAGCTCTTGCATGCTTTGACATCTCTGCTAAGATGTGGTTAAGCTGTCTGTAACTCAGCAGAGCTGCCCCTTGTTCTGTTCCCTGTATGTGACTCTCGTACGGGTTCAGCTGCTTTTGGCTCCACTTCAGCTTCCTGGATTAGCTTCAGTTAGGACATCCAATATGGATAATAGAGGTCTTTTTCTCTCTGCATGTTCTCACATGACAGAAAAAAATGGATCACAAGTGACATGAATTGTGTGGGCGTTATAAACTTGCTTTATTAGTTGAGCGGGGTTGTGTCACCTCTCCACTGCCTGGTGGAAGGTGGCGGTGCTCTGCTGCAGTCCAGGGGTAGGCTTGGAGGTGTAAAATTCTTCAGCTCCTGCTAGTGACAGTAACCTTTTTTGGCTTAGCAAACATCCTCACAATTCATAGAATCATAGAATCATAGAATGGTTAGGGTTGGAAGGGATCTTAAAGATCACTGAGTTCCAACCCCCCTGCCATGGGCAGGGAAACCCTCCACTACACCAGGTTGCCCAAAGCCTCATCCAAAGCTTCATGGATCGTCCTGTTTTATTAAGCGCTTGAGCTGGGTGATCTGCCTTCTGTTTTGGAACAAAGGAGATAAAAAGCTGCTGGACGTGACAAATTGGTTGTGAAAAAGTCAAAGTAGCCTTTAGCATTCCAGCAGACAAGTCTTGGGCTTAGTCTGATAAACTACTGTTGTTCCTCCAAACTAGATAATATATCCATGAAATAACACACATTAAAGCATAATAGTTGTAGTTCAAATTGTGTGTGACTTTTACTCATCTCTGCTTTTTATTGTTAAATGGACTGCTAGAAGGCTGTGAAAACAGTAGGTAAAGATGGACTCTATGACCTGATTTTGCTGGAACAGGGATGTGTTTTTTTTCCTGAAGCCACCATGGTTGTAGAAGTTTCTTATAGGCTCATCTACAATGACTGGGTTTTAGTTTTGAAGCAAATCGAAATGTTGTGGATGTTTTTAGTGCTATTTTGCAGTGCTGTGCTGTGTAGCACTCATTGCTGTGTGTTCCCTGTTCACCCCCATTGCTGTCATGTCAGAGCGTCTTCCAGGATTGCATCTTTCATTGTGCCATAACCTTGGTCACTTGCTGCTTCTTGAATCTTCAAGGCAAGAAGTGTGTGCAGTGGCATTTACTTTTCAAAATTTTATAAAAATGTCTGTTTAAACTATGCTTGAAAAAGCAAAACAGAACAAACTCATTTGGAGGTTTGTCCTGATAAGTGTTTTTACACATCTGTCTCATTGTTTTAAATATAATACTGATAATACTATAGTGACTCATGAGCATGGGCCTTGTTCTCAGATTTAACTCAGGAGACTTTTGAAAAAATTTGCGGACTTTACTCTAAAACATTTAATGAAGTTAGAGAATATGTCCGTCCTTCCAGTGTGGAAGGGTACCTCATCCATGTAAGATTCTTCCATGTAAAACTCTCACTTGAGAGGGATAGAAGAGAGATGTGCTTCCTCCCTGGCTTGTTGGCTTCTTCACAGTTACTGTAAAGAGAAAGGAAGAGGACAGAGGAAGCATGAAGCGCTCACCTTTTCTACCATTTGTTTGGGGCAAAGTGTTTCTGTATTCAAATGCTGAGTTTTAGCAGTTATCACAAAATCCTTTTGCTTCCTTTTATTAGCAGCAACTTCAGTGATTTAGGAAGTACCTGGTGTGATGCTATAAATACTAAATACCTACGGTGTAGCTTTATAGGACGGTGTAGCTTTTGTAGTAGGACAAAAGGTTGATGTTCTTGAAGTGGGTTGAACCCTTGGCTATTGTCAGAGCCATTACAGAGTCTATCAAAGCTAGGTTTTATCTGCTAGAAATTGATCTGTTTGGCATCATTACAAAGAAATACTAACAGAGCTGTTTCATACACAAAGCCGCAAGATAATTGTAGTAGGTTGGCTAGTATTTTTCATGATTAGTGTTTGATTCTTTTCAGGTAGAAGGCTAGAGGAGTGCTTGATGTGAGACAGTGCTTCTGAGACACCCAACCTGCATTTCCGTTGTTGAAGTACATCCATACTGAATTTTAGACATCATATGAAATTACTTTTCAGATTAAAAAAAAAAGTGTTATTCTGTATATTCTAAATATGATGTGCTCCTTCATTTTTCTTTCATGCAGCACAGGTTCAAAACTGCAATGTGATAGTAGCCCATGGTTCAGACTCCAGTCTTTTCTGTGCAGTCCTTTCGCAGTCCTTAAATCGTGTTTGTGTTCAAGGTCTGCAGACACCTAGCATTTTGATCTGAGCCTTAAGACATTAGGGTGCCTACTCATTTGCCTTCAACTTCTTTTTCTGTCTTGCATAGTTCATTGCACCCTCTTAGGTAATACAGATTATCAACATGCAATATTTTTAAAAAAATACAAATTAGTACTGCTAGTTAAGGGAACTTAATTAATATGAACTTCCAGTATGCTAATACTTTCTGGGTAGATGCAGTTGATGAATCATTATTTCAGAACAATCAGGGAGAGCAGACCCACTTTTCAAGTATTTTGCATTAGTAACTCTTGGGCTGAGGGGACAGGGAGAGAATAATGCGACACTCTCCAGCCTAACGGCCGAGACATCAACTTCAGAGAGGAATTAAATAGAAACTGGATCACAATGAGTGTTCCAGTATTTTGTGCAGTGATTATTGTATATGAAGTACTTGTCTTCATGCATGGGTGCTCTCCGCTCGTCTTCTTTTCCTGTTAAATATTTGAGATGTGTTTGGAAGCAGCGTTCCTTCAGCAGG